AATGGTCTCTCTGCTGAGCAGTTTTCATATTCCAAACATACATATGTTGTACAGTGTGTCTAATTATTCTTGGGGACAATTACTGTCAGGTTGCAAAATGTGTTCAATGAACAGCAATTGGTGTTTTATTCAGCTTTAAAAAGACTATGCGGGAGAACAGTAGGTTATATTGTCTGCCTCAAGAAGTGTTTTGCCATCCAGAAACATCTGCTTTCTATTTAAAGCAGTGCAGAAGGGATGGGAGTATATTTCAGACATACTCCCTGAGCACTGAAGACCAAAGAAAGGAGGATAAAATTGGATATGAAGGTAGTTTCTGTTCTCTGATACACACACTCTTCTGCTTTTCCCTGCTGGGAAGGAAATGTGGCTTCCTGGGTTGGAAAGTTCTGATTCTTTTGACTCTATTTATACAGATTTGCACATGTGTGGGAACTGACTTCTTTGTCCTAGTTCTGGCTCTTTTACTTTTTTCATGTGAGACAAAATACTCTTTAAAGTTGGGGGTCTGCTTCTCTGAATTTTGTGGTGAATGTGTAAAGTATACTGACTTTGCTCTGAGCAAACTCAAGGTTTGTTGTCCAGGTTACCTGATCACCTTGGGACCCTCAGGGGTGTGTGTGTGTGTGTGTGTGTGTGTGTGTCCTAAACCTTCTGTGAAGGGCAGTGTATTAATTATGTACTGCTGTGGAATGAACTATCACAAACATAGCAGCTTAAAGTAGGATGTATTTCTGCAAATTGGGTACTCTGCTTCAGAGCTTCATACAAGCTTCATCTGAAGGCTCAGCTGTGGCAGGATCTGCTTCTGAGCTCACCTGGCTGTTGGCAGAGTGCTGGTTGCCCCAGGGATGTTGGTCCTCACTTTGCAGGTTGCAGGCTGGAGTCCCCTCTCATTCCCTGCAGGGTGGGTCTCCCCAGCTTGCTTCATGATAAACAGCAGAAAGAGTCCTTTGAGAGCCTGTCACCCTCCTGTTTAACCTCATCACCCTCACAACTGCTTATCACTTCTGTCATATTCTGTCACTTAAAAGTAAGTTCTCTTCTCAAGGAGAGGGGACATACTGGAAGCCATGTCAGAAGCTGCATATGTCAAGCCTGTTTTAGGAAGACAGCATAACATATGGTTAAGAGGGAAGCTTTCCATGTCACTTAGAGCTGACTTCAAATCTCAGATCCCCTGGTTACTAACTGGTTACTTGGCCTTTCTGAGCCCGATCCTGACCTGTAGGGCCCTTCCCCACAGGATTGTTGTGATCCTACATGAGAGATCACGTGTAAAGCCTTGCAGAATGGTAAGCACTCAGTAAATGTCAGCTACTGGCTGTTCTTTCCATCCTGCCTTTTATTTTATTATTATTTTTTTTTACTTGTCTTAAGACAACATTAGACTTTTTAAATATCAGAAGAATAGCCAGAAGCTCCCACTGCCCTCAGATTTGCTTATTCATGTGGAAGTCCCAGTCCTGTGGGTGGTTTCCCAGGCCTAGAGCCACTGCCAGATTTCTGTAGTGTCCTCCCTGTTTCCCCAGGGCTTGGGACTGCAGAACACAGCTCTTTGGCCTCAGGAGGGCTGCAGCTTCCTGCTTGACCGACCCCAGCAGCTCCCATCTCTAGTCTTTGTGGGCAGCCCCTTCCCCTGCAGGGGGCCTCAGCTGGTGTGCTCAGCTGGCACCATGCTTCTCCAATCCTTGCACTTCTGATTAGGGTACTGAGAGCAACCCAAGATGACATCAGTCCATCCCCAGAGCTGAGAAGGAAGACAGGGAGATAGAACCCTTTTGGTCTGCATGCACGCCTTGACCTAAATCATGCTAAGCACAGAGCAGGCCAGTTTCTCATGTACCTGGTGAGTGAGCTCAGCTGTCTTCTCCTGTTCCCGTCCATTTCCTGCTCCAGCTCCACTGTTTCCTTTACTTCCTCCCTCCTGTAGGCTTCGAGGACAGAGAGTGCTTGCACATGACCACCACAAGCCATCCTCCATCTCTGTCCTCCTTCCTGACCAGAGAACATCCCACTGCTCCCATGGAAGAACTTTCTGGGGTCCTACTGTGTCATTCTTCAAGAAAGATGCTGGCTCTAGGGGCCACTTGCATTACTTTTCTGGACTGTTCTAATGTCTAATGTGTGTGTGTCCCTCCTCTCAACTTCTTTGAGGAGGCAAATCTTCTGGAGCTCCTGGGCCCCCATCCTGCAGGCCCAGGTTCCAGGGGGCCTAGAAGAACTGTTTTCAGTAACTGCCTTGCTAATTCCTGTCAGGGAGATTCAGGAAACACGCTACAACACAGACCCAAATGCTCTTCTTCACCAAGGGGAGCAAGACAGTGATTTGAAGCTCCCCTTTAACCAAAGGAAACTGTGTTCAGTCTGCAATAGTGAGGCATAGGTTTTTGTATGATTCTGTTCCCTGAGAATTGTCTGTCGTGGTTGCCCTTTAAATTGCTCCATTCTCTTAGATATGCAGGGGAATACCATGTGCGGAAGTGTTTTTCTTTACGGCATTGTACTTAGATGATTAGGAAATTGTGGTGCTGGGTTGACAGTGGCACAGCTGGGCAGTCCAGACGTCAGGCTTCCCCACACGATTTGATGGTGAAGCTCTTACTGCTGTGCGCACGCTCACCACCTCCTGGCCCCTCTTGGTGACAGATGCGGGGAATTACACTGCGAATGTGCCTTTCGCATCTGCGGCTGCCACCTGCTGCTGGAAGACTGTTGGGCTAGGACAGATTGGGTGGGTGAACTTGACTGAGAAATGTCCTCACGATCCACATCCCTGGAGTCACACGTCCTGCACCAGGGGACCTAGAAGTTTCAGGGAAAAACGAATACTGGTCTCTGGCGATTCTTTTGGAGCGCTGGTTCTAGAAATGGCCATCCTAAAGCAGCATTAGCATCTTGCCCTGAGAGAAATGGTTGAGGAAAGTGTCTGTGTTTTCCTACAGCATGCTGACATGGTGGTGTTACACAGTATTCCTGGCAGCAAGCTCAAATGGTAAATTGCTTTACTAGGAAAAAGTTTCTCCTTGAGAGCTTTCTTTCTAGTAATGAACCTTCTGCAGTTGAAGTGGGTTCAAAGGTTGCTTTGCTTAAAATTCCATCCAGAGACCAGAGCATTTAAAATTCACTTTTCTTTCTGATTTCATTTGAATGTCTGATTTTTTTCATGTCATATCTTTTGACATTGTAAGGCTTTTAAAAATTAAATTCACTAAGCTAAATTTAAGCCTTTTGATTTCATTTTATATCTCTAAAAATACTTATTAAATCTGTAGCCTTTTGTGAATTACAGGAATATTTTAATACATTGGTGCCTTTTTCCCCTATTTTTATCTTATTTGAATACAAAGGTTTTTTGAGACAGTTTGTCTGTAGCCCCCTTTCTTAAATAATATTGTGTAATGAGCCTGTTTCATTCTGTTACTTTGTAAATTAGATGCCTTCAAGTATGCTAGTGCAGTGAAATCCATTAGTTTTTATTCACTTGCCCTATTTATTATTGCCTATTATCAGGCTCTAATTCATTCCCCACTAAATGGAAATAAACAGATAATGTGCTAATTTAGTTAGCAAACAGAAAGGGTTTACAGCTGTGGGGATGCAAACAGCAGCAGTAATACAGAGCAACAGTAGCAAATAGATTTGGTGAATTCTGCATAAAACTCAGAGTTTTACCTAAGAGGTCTACATAAAACTTTACAACTTGGTCAAATTGAAAAGTTCTTTAAGGGTTTCACTGTAAACTAATGGCATACTCATAAAGATATGAAATAATTCCGTCATTAAAACAGTGCTATGAGCTGGTGTGGTAGTGTGTAGCTGTGATCTCGGATATCATGAGGATGAGGCAGGAGATGGGGAGTTCAAGGCCAGTCTGGGAAACCCAGTGAGGTACTGTCTCAAAATAAAATATAAAAAAGATGGGGATGTAGCTTAGTGCTCCCAGATTTAATCCTTAGTACTGGGTTGCCGGAGGCTATACATTAGAGAAGTACCTAATAGAAATGTAATATTTTAATAGTATATGTTTATGACACATATTACATTTATCTTGGGAAATTGGTGCGTCCACGTATCACATCTTGGTTATTTTTACTCCCTTTCATATTCCTTCCCCAGATCTTCTTCCCATTGTCACAGAGGCTGTCTCCCTGTTTCTTTGCATCTGTCCTTTATTTTACTCTTTAAGTTATTTATATTTTGGGTCTCAAATTAGAGAAACCATGTGACAGTTAACCCTTTGTGTTTATTTCACTGAGTATCTCAAAATCCATTCATTTTCCTATACAGAACTCAAATTGATTATTCTTTATGGGTCAGTAGTACTCCACTGTGTATACATTTTTTAATCCATTCATTTGTTGGGCACATAGGCAACTTCCACGCGTTAGCTATTATGAGTTGTGCTGTTGTAAACATGGTATTCATGTGTCACTGTAATATCATGACTTCAACTTTTTCAGGGAGATCCTGGAAGAGGGATAGCTGGGTCAGGTGGAATTTCTATTACTCATTTTTTTGAGGGCTCTTCAGACTGATTTCTCTCCATACTGCTGTCTACCTTGATTATAGAAATGTATTATGCTGCAATGAGTATTGTAAAAATCCTAAAATTGTTGCAGAATCTCCCAAAATAAATTCATTGCAAAATCCTAAAATGAATTTATTCCAAAGTCCTAGGAACACCAGCAGGATGTCTGGAGAAGGATGGGACACATGACGGGTATGCAAAAACTCTCAGTAAAGGAGCTGCATTTTAAGCAAATTGCTCATTAGGTCCATTGCCCTGAAACCTCAGGTGACAGCAAATAGAATATGAATTGCTACGACTACACATAGGTGTCTGTGTCTCCTCTTTCCCCTTTCCTTATTTTAATTGGGCTCATGCATCTGTATCTTTCCTGATAAGCTATTTTTGGGGGACAGGGGGTGGCCTGGAAATGATAAGCTTACATAAAGTCCTGTTCTGTCCGCTCACGTGCGCACCACTCCTGTTGCAGAGAGCAGCCCATCTTCACCACCCGAGCGCACGTCTTCCAGATCGACCCCAACACCAAGAAGAACTGGGTGCCTGCCAGCAAGCAGGCCGTCACCGTTTCCTATTTCTACGATGTCACAAGGAACAGCTACCGGATCATCAGTGTGGATGGAGCCAAGGTACCACCCCGCAGAGCTGACTTTTAGCAGTCTCACTTGTGTTTTGTCTAAAGCAATGTATTTGAAAAGTGGAGGGAAAACGTTATACCCCAGAATCTTGCCATCTTAACAGAGAAGTTGTGAGTATAATTATAATGTCTGTATAATCACACATCCTGCTTTTTCTTTCTTTTTTTGGAGACAAAGTCTCTGGCTGGCTTCAAACTTGCAATCCTCTTGCCTCTCAGTCTCTCAAGTACTAGGATTAGAGAGGTGTGTGCCACCATGCCAGGCTTATTCTGCTCTTTCTTCCTACTTGAATTCATGGCAGATGAGTAAAAAGCATATTTTCCTGTTACCGCATTGTCTTCATAACTAATATTTTAATGCCTGAATAGTGATTCTATCAAAGGTTTATAATATTCTTTAATTTTTTTCCTATGATTGGATGTTTAAGTGGCTTCTGGGTTTTTGCTACTATAGATAATGGGCATTTTAACAGACCAGATGGCCTCATTTGTCTGTCCCATACCTATTTCTTGCTTTCCAGTATTTCCTCAGAACAGATTCCTAGAAGTAATACTGTAGGTGGTGATATTAACGCTTTATGGTCTTGGATCACATTGCCAACTTGCTTTTGGACTCTGTCTTCTGGCATGTACGAGAACGCCAGTTTACAGCACCCTTGCCAGCAGTGGATATTATATCTAGGCTCATCCTGGTGTTTAATTAGACACAGGAGTCGAATTTTATTAAATGACTTTGGTGTATTCTTCGAAATATTTTTTCCCTGGTACTTTTATTATTTGCTGTCTTTCTGCATATTTTTGCCCATTTTTGTGGGAGCAGAATGAAGCAATGCCAGCAGAAGGACCACGAAATCTTTTTCTAAATATAATAAACCTGCCTTTTGTCTTTCATCTGTGTTCATTCTGCTGGACATTTACATATGTTACCATCTGAAATTCAGTGTGCCAGCAGCTGAATTCCCCTATTTATCCTCTAAACCAGCTCTCCATTTTTATTTCCCAATTATTTGGTCCAAAAAACAAAAAAAGATACAGAGTCATTCCTTCTTGTGAACCTACTCTGCCGTTGAGGTATCTCACATATGTGTTGTCCATTGTGTTAATAGCCCTAACTCTTGTCCTGGTGTGGTCTTGCTTAGATCCTGCAGTAGCCTCCTGGCTGACCTCATCTCCTGCCTCATCTCTCCTGACTGTGGTCTAGGTCAGGTTTCCTAGGCAATAGGAAGCAGGCAAAGTGAGAGCTGGGCAGTAGACGAGGGCCCCAGTGTCAGCTTTTCTCCTCTTTCACAAAGTGGAAGGCACAGGGAAACCTCCATTGTTCCTTACCCAGCAGGAAGGGGACAAGAGCCGGCTGATGCCTCCTGATCTGATGGGTGAATCAGATTTTCCTTTCAGCCCAGGTCCTGTCTTCAGGTGCCTGTTTTGTGATCTCGGCACCAGGGTGACTACAGATAAAGGCATCTTGGGTCCATGATCCCTTTTTGTTTTTCTTCCAAGTGCAGTAGCCCTTCCTCCTACCAGGGAGAGAGCTCAGAAATCCTTACCTCATGGCTGAGGTCTAGGGCGAGCCAGTGGCCTGGCCAGGTTCACAGTGCTGAGGGGCTTAGCAGGCTGGTGCCGGTCCCTGTTCCATGGACACCAGGTCCTGGATGGTTGGGCTGGAGCAGGCCACTCCCTGGCTGGTAGATATGTGTCACACTGCTGGTGTGTGAGGACAGCAGCAGCTGCTGGGGTGAACATGTTACGAGGCTCAAGGCCTGGCTTTTCCATCTAAATAGGAGGCAGTTGAGCAGCAAGGCAGTGGAAGTGCCTGGCACATAGTAGGTAGTCACCTCATTTTTGATGACTAAATATCTGAAGGGTGTCTTAATTTTTCTTTTTTTTTTGGTACTGGGGATTGTGCTGCTGAGCTATATGCCCAGCCCCTATGTCTTAATTTTTTAATATTTTTAACTTCTGGGAGATGTGGTAAAGCCACAATTGTAATTACCATTTCTCCTCTCTGAGCTTGTGAGCCTTAATTGCCTGGGCTTTTCCCAGGGTGTTCTGATAAGAGACGGGATCTGAGCTGACCTTCTTTCTTTTATCTGTAGTCTGTCGGTTCATCTGCCTTCCTCAGATGGGTTTGCACTTTCGTCAGTTGAGTTATCCAAGGATATATTGGGCTTAGCTCTAGACAAAAACAACTTTCCCAGAGCTGGTGCTGCTTGTCCTTTTAACCAGGCTTTTAGTAACTTGTCAGCCTGTCAGGCACCACATCATTATGGTTATGCAGTTCCCGACGATTGTGACAGTGTGGTGGAGCCCCAGCCGAGAAAGATGGCTGTGAAAAATTAGACGGGTGTAGGAAGGAGAGCTGACACCCTGGCTGTAGAGTAGATCTGACTCAGGCCCAGTGTGGGGGATCCACCAAGATAAAAAGTGGGAACTGAAAGCCTACGCCATGGGACACCACTGAATTTCAGAGGCTGAACCAGTGGATGTCAGGCCTCCGTACCCACCTGCCATGGTGTGGGCTACCTGGTATCCTTGGAGCCTCCCCCAGAGCTCCAGCTTCACCACTGTGGCATCAGGGACAGGGGTGGAGCCTTGTTCTGCAAAGGAAGCAGAGGACCCTGGGGCACATGTAGGCAGATGGAGGTGGACTTAGTCATCTTAATATTCTCACCAGCACTTGGGGATTGGCAGTCTCCTGCCTGGAAAACTGGAATAGACTATTGATCCTAGCACCACTGTATCCCTGCTTGGCCCACTCTTGACCCTGTTAGCAGAAGTCAAACAAGTAGGCAAGACATAGACCAGGTCCTGTGCCTCAGCTGTCCTACAGTCCAGTGGCTGTGGAGGAAACTCGTGAGTGCTGCCAGCTGTTGTTATGGCCAGGCACCCTGCACCTTGCCCTCTGCTCACCCAGAGGTGGCACCCCAGCACCCCAGCCCCAGATCCCACCCTCTCCGAATACTCTGGGTGGGGTATCCCACTTCCTGCAGACTGGAATAAGGGGCAGTGAGTGGCTTTAACTGCTGCCCTCTCACTGGCCCCAGTGTCTTCACCCACCCTGCCCCATCTCTATTCAATCGGTGTGATTCTTCTCTAGTCCTTATTCCTGAGTATGTCCTGATTGCATCTTTACTGCCCTCCCTGCCGGGCATAGGTCCCCACTCCCTGCCCAGCCATGTGTCCTAGGTCTAGGCCAGGTGCCTAGAGAATGCAATCCTAGGCTGACCACTTGGGCATGGATGGTTCCCTATCATCATGCTGCACCACGTTCCAACTCTACTTCCTTTTAGGCCTTTGATCCCAAATAATGATCCGAACTGAGTTGCCAGTTTAGCTTTTGAGGCCATGTCTTAGCCCATAGACTGCATCTCTGTGCCCTCAGGCAGCTCTGGAGACTGGTCCTGCTGCCTCTGTTGACCTAGCTGCATCAGATCCATGGCCATAGGCTGCTTCTTGGCTTTTCTGGATCAGCGTCTGGAAAAGGAAGCCTCTGCCCCTCCCAAATGGAGCAGACGTGCTCTGGCAACTAGTGGCTAGAATGGAAGGACCTAGTGGTCACACCAGCCCAGCCGCTGTGTGAACCAAAGGCAGCCAGGAGAGCACAGGCGCCCAGAAGGAAAGAGTTAGCAGCTGTCATTCACAGCAGGCACAGTGTGTGAGATCCTCTTCCCCATCCAAGCATTTGTCATGCTCTACTTGAGGAGGGGCACACAGAAGCCTCCCTTACTGCTGAGAGCAATTGGTGCTACTCATCATAAGAAGGCTTTGTATTCAGATTTATTCTTTGAAACACTGAAGGTCTCTTTTTTTCAGGGACAGTATTGGGTGTGTCAGTTCCAGCTGCTGCCTAAAGACATGTGCAGAAGTGAATCATGCAAGTTCTGTGGCTTTTGTGGATCCATCTCTGGGAGGGGTCTACTATCAGTGGACTGTGAGCTCTTTGAGGATGGGTGGAACCAGGCCTTGTTCATTGTCAGTGCTTCAGCACCAAGCTGAGTGAGCAGCACAGACAGAAGTGGTGTGAACAGGTGATGAAGTCCGGCCTGGCCACCTCCTGTCCAAGCCCATACCAGGTGTGCTGTGCACACTGCAGGACAGTGGGCAGGGCGCCTGTGTCCTCAGTCACCACTCAAGTCCTTGGCTCCCAACCTCCATCCTCCCTCCCTCCCATCTCTGTCCCAGCTTCTGTGCTTCTTCACCTGCTCCTGTCAAGGGGAAACCAAGGACTGAAACCTTAGAATGGACGGGGGTTGGCCACGTGATCCAGGCAGCACACAGCGACAGCCATGGGATTAATGGGAAGAACTGCCAACTCCATCATAAAGAAATCCCATTTCCAGAACATTTGTTAATTGAGCCATTGCAGCATTTGATTTCATTGTGCTCTTGGCACTCTTTATTGTGCAAGTTAATCACTGCCTTCCTTGTGACAAACTGCCTGTGCCTCTGGACAAGACTTGCCTGAAGCAGGTGCTTCTCCCGAGTGCTTGGATGACTCTGCTGTCCTTGGTTCTCAGTTATTTATAGGATCACAGAAAACTTCTATTGGAGGAGACCTTAAAGGTCATCTGTTCTACAAATATTTAGCAATGCCCACTGGGTTGCAAGTACTGCCTAATTGTGACAGTTGGGAAGCCATAAACATCCCAAACCCTGGCTTGTTTGGTATTTACTTCTGAGGATATAAAATTGCTCTCAAGGACACATTCATGGTTCACTCTTCCACTCATCCTTGTAGTTTCTGTTTTGAGTAAGTGTAGAGCACCTGCTGTTAGGAGAATGCGCATGTGGAAGAGTCCCATCACGCAGTAGGTTTTCCACGAATGTTGGTTTCTTTTCTTCCCTTACTGTGGTTAAAAAACAGACTCTATGTGCTACCTCAGAACCAGGCAGCAGTCCGTGTGGAAAACTTCCACACTTCCAATTTCCAACTCCCTGGACTGGGGAAAGTGCTCATGAAGATGGATCCTGTGTCCTTTCTACCTCTTTCATGAG